TCTGGCACATCTCTTGGAACACTGCCGACTCAAAATTTCTTCCCTGGTCAGAGTGCAGCTCTATAGGTACACCGTATCTCGCAACCCAATTGTAGGTGAATACCTCCGCTACTGTTTTAGCTTCCTGGTTTGGAATCGGGTATACCTCCGGCCATTTGCTAAAGTAGTCCATAACCACAAGGACGTATTTGTTTCCCTGTGCGCTCATAGGAAATGGACCGGCTACATCCATGGCAATCCGCTCGAAAGGTGCACCTGAGTTATATTGCTTCATCTGGCCATGACTTCTGGATTTCGGCCCCTTAGCTGCAATACACTCCGCGCAGTTAGCAATCCACTCTGCGACCGATTGCCGACAACCAACCCAATAGAACCTCTGCTTAACCTTCTCCAGGGTCTTCGTGATTCCCAGGTGCCCTCCACTAGGACCATTGTGGAATTCCTTGAGTACATCCGGAATTCTTACCCTTGGAACTACTATCAGGTTGCGGGAGCACTGGCCATCTTCGCTTTCCCATACCCTATGCAAACAGCCAGATATTAATTTTAAGCTGTTCCATTGTGCCCAGTACGCCTTTGCGATGGGGCTTTCCGCTGCCATTTGCTCCTTAGTTGGCCTCCTGTCCACCTCCAGTCCATGCATCAAAAGCTCTAGATCTGGATCTTCCTGCTGACACTTTCGTAGCTGTTCTTCCTTCCACTCTTCCGCTGGTGTTATTGTCGTTAGACGGACGTCTATAATGTCCTCTTTTCCCTCAGCTTTTGAGCAGTGTTTACATTCCAGGCTACATGGTCGGCGGGACATGGCATCAGCATTACCGTGGACACTTCCCTTGCGGTGTTCAATAGCGAAGTCATAACTTTGCAGTCTCTCAATCCATCGAGCTAGCTGTCCTTCTGGATTCTTAAACTGTAGTAGCCACTTCAGCGCTGCATGGTCCGTTCGAACTCGGAAACGTTGCCCATAGAGGTACTTGTGGAAATGTTTGACGCAGTCCACCAACGCTAGTAGTTCTCTCCGAGTTACGCAGTAGTTCCTCTCTGGTTTTCCAATCGACCGGCTATAGTAGGCAACTACCTTCTCCTGCCCATCAATTAACTGCGACAGTACGCCTCCTATGGCATAACCACTAGCATCCGTATCCAAAATAAACGTTGCACCTGGAACGGGATACGCTAGCATAGGTGCAGTACATAGTCGTTCCTTCAGAGTCTGGAAAGCCTCCTCCTGCTCCTTGTTCCACTCGAAGGCTCTATTTTTCCTAGTGAGCTCGTGTAGGCTTTTAGCAACGCTGGCGAAATTCGGAACAAATCGGCGGTAGTAGGTGCATAGCCCAAGAAAACTTCGTAGTTCGTGCAGGTTCCTAGGCCTTGGCCAATCCTTTACTGCTTCTATCTTTTCCTTCGCAGTACAGATGCCCTCCGTTGTCACCTTGTGCCCTAAGTAGTTCACCTCCTTCCTGAACAGTGAGCACTTTTTAGAACTTAGCTTCAGACCAGCGCCAGCTATCCTCTGGAAAACTTCTTCCAAATTGTTCAGGTGTTCCTCAAAGCTTTTACCCAATACGATAATGTCATCTAGATACACCAAACATGTTTTCCAATGCAGTCCTTTGAGCACATGGTCCATAAGTCGTTCAAAAGTGGCAGGAGCGTTGCATAATCCAAAGGGCATCACCGTGAATTGCCACAGACCGTCTCCAACGCTGAAAGCTGTCTTCTCCTTATCCTCGTCACTTACCTCCACTTGCCAATAACCGCTCTTAAGGTCGAGTGTTGAGAACCACTTTGTTCCATCAACGAGTCCAGAGTGTCATCGATCCTGGGAAGAGGATAGCTGTCCTTTTTCGTCACATCGTTTAGTTTCCGGTAGTCTACGCAGAACCGCATTTGACCATCCTTCTTCTTCACAAGTACTACCGGCGAACTCCATGGACTCGCTGATGGTTCAATCACACCACTCTCGCTCATTTCGTTTATTATTTGGCTAACAGTTTCACGTTTGGCAAGTGGAACACTCCGAGGAGCTTGACGGATTGGCCTTGCATCGCCAGTATCAATGCGATGTTTCACAACGTTAGTCCTGCCTGGTTTGTCGCCATCCTTGTCGAATATGTTGCAGTATCTTCGGAGAAGTTCCTTAGCCTTGTGCTGGTATTTTTCTTCCAACCCTTCCGTCCATGCATTAATGTCTTCCGCAATGTCATTCTCGCCAATGGAATCGCTTTCAGGTAACTTTTCGCAGTTGAAGATTGCCTCTACCTCTCGACATTGCCCCAGTACAGTTCCTCTTCGGAGTTTGACTGGTGACTTGAACTCATTGAGCACTCGAACTGGGATGCGTCCATCCTTTTGCGTCTTAGCCAAGGTTTTACCAATAAGTACGTCCGGTGTAGAATTTTGTGTTGCTTCAACAACCCACAATTTGTTTGTCCCACAATCTCCATCAATCTTTGCCCACACAACTGCTTCTGACTTCGGTGGAATCTGCTCGCTTTCCTCTAGGATCACTCGCTTGCTGCTGTACGGACCATCATACCCAAACCTAAGGGGCACTTCCATGTTGTCGTACGTCATGATCCTGCTCTTCATGTCGATCTTCATACCTTGACCAAATAAAAAGTCTAATCCAATTATGACTTCATCCATAATCGCCGCGACTATGAACTTGTGTAACACTGTCACATTCCCTATTGCGACTTTGCATGTTACCTCTCCTACAACTTGGGTGTCCTCACCAGTTGCTGTCCTCAACCTTGCTCCAGGTAATGGCCTTACATCTTTAGTGACCAAATCAGATCGAATGATGGAATGTGATGCGCCCGTATCCACAGTTAGTACTCGCTCATGTCCGTCCACATATGCACCAACAGTAACGTTGCTCGCCTTTCTGCCAATTCGCGAGACAGAGATTATGGGGCATTTAATTGCGGGAGCCAGCGTGCGCCCCTTGCTGCTGGCTCGTTTTAGTTTAACGACTGGTCGGAGTTGGGCTCGTCATCCTCAGTCCTGCGTTTACGTACTGCTGAACTGTTTGACCTGTTGGAACCCGTCTTACATTCGCGTGCGAAGTGGCCTGGTTTTCCGCAGCTAAAACATTTTCTAGCACCATCCTTCCTCTCGGTTGCACCAGGAGTATTCTTCCCTGCCATTGACTTGAGTGTTTTCAGGATCTCGTTCATCACGTCAGGTGTTTCCACTTCTACTCGATGGGCTTTGTAGGCTGGTCTACTTAGGAGCGCTGCCGTTTCACGTGTCTGAGCATACGAGACCGTTTCAGCAAATGTTGGCTTTGGATTTGCATACGTCTCGCGCTTGGTATACACGTCCCGCATTCCGTTGATGAACCTCTGGATTTTTACTCTTTCAAGGTGCTCACCAGATGCGTCTCCAATTGCCAAATGAGCCAGCCTTTCAATCTCAGAGGCGAATTCCTGTAAAGTCTCGTTGGATTTCTGGCAGCGATTCTCCAGCTCCATCTGGTAAATCTGTCTCCTGTGCTCGCTACCATAACGTCTTTCCACTGCACCCATTAACGCATCGTAACTGTTCCTTTCACAGTCGGGAATAGTCTGCAAGATTTCTGCCGCAGGTCCTTTCAATGCAACGAATAGTGCAGCGGATTTATCCTCCATGCTCCAATGATTTGCTGCAGCCGTTTTTTCGAACTGGAGCTTAAAGACCTGGAAAGGAATCGTGCCGTCAAAGGATGGGGTTTTTACCTTGGGTGCGCTCGTCGAAGTAGCTGGACGATTCAACTGCATATCTCGGAGGCGACCTTCCAACTCTTCTACCTTAGTCTCGACTTTCTCCTGTCTCTCTTCAAGTTTGTCCTGTATTTGTGTAATTTTTTCATCCTGTGCTTCCAGCTGTGATGATATGCGTGCCTCCTGTGCCTGTAGCTGAGTTTCTAACCGGGATGACACCTGCGCTGATACCTCGGAAGATATACGTGTTTCCAAGGCTTGCATCTGTGAGGAAACGTCTGACGACAACTGCGACCTCTGTTCCTGCATCATCTGTGACATGGCAGCCAATAACGTGTTCATGTCCATACCTGTTGATGAACAAAGAGCATTTTGCTGTTCTTCAACCTTCCCGGATGTCTGTTGCACATCCTTTGACGAACATGCAGCCTCATCCTTCTGTTCGTCCTTTGCGGATGTATCGTCGGGTTTACCTTGGAAGTCGTATTTGTCCACGTCGATGCCTTCAGCTTCCATAGCCTCTCGCAACCGGGATAACAATTCCACTTTTCTTCCGCAGGTGGCCAAATTACGCTTTTCCAACTCCTGTTTCAGCTCCTCAATTTTTAAGTCCTGAATTTTCGCCATTTTTAGTAGTTTCTCCTTCGGGATTTATTTAACAATCCCACTTCTGACACCAATTGTTACGATTATCCTCGAAACCTTGAGGGATTACCCAAATATACTCGGGCTCGTATCGCTGGATTGTTAAATAAAGACTAACGATGACCAAATTGTAGTACAATTAACTTTATTGTACAACAAACAATTTACAATACTTGCTAATACAGTAAAAACACTTTACAATACTTGTTAAAGCAATAACAACGCTCTACTACTTGTTAACACAATTAAACTTATAGCTTGCTTATTCGAGACTCAATTCTCCGCTCACTTTACTTGTAGCTTGCTGACTTGTAACTAACTCACCTCGTGGTGGCGGCGCCCTTATATACCTGCGCTGGCACTTATGGCAACTCTAGAACATTCTGAAGTTTATCGCTCATTCTCTCCCTCTCGCTGTTCGCAGTGTTCATCCAACTTGACGTTTCTCTTTGAGGAACATTCTACGTCATTCTTCGAACATTCTGCCTATTTCTCGTTGTTCGCTTTGTGTTGCCGCAGTATTCGCCACAATATAAAGAAAATTAAAAGTTGTCTTACATCTAGTAAACTTAAAAAATTGCACATTAAATTCATTTTTCATTATAAAATAAAATTAAATATCACAATTCCGTTGAAGTGTATACATATGTACATATTTACAAAATGTGGTCTGTTTGCACCCACAGTAAGTTCCCATGAAGCCTAGCCTAAATTCAGAACTGAAAAAAAACGAGCAAATGGGGTCGGAAACTACTAGCCCTAAAAGCATAATGTGGAAAATGTTTTAAGAGCTGCGAAATTGTATTGCAATAATAAAAATAACAGTGCATAAATTGGAAAAATGGCTTTTGTTTTGCTTTATAATTTTTGGGAATATTGATCACAGTATACCAGTAGAAAAGGTTTTTGTTTTTGTAGCTGTTTCGTGGTGAAAGTCCTTTATGGGGGCCAAATTTCCCCACAAGAAATTGAGCGCATGGTTGCTTTTGCATTCCAAAAGAACGAATATTAGAAAACATTGAAAAAAAGTCTGAGATAATACAATTATATTCTACTAGAAATAAACTCGATAGTGTGCGCTAATTAGATAATGTGATAATCATGTTTAAAAACTCTTTTCAAGTCTTATTTTTCAGAAAATAATTTGTGGATCAGATTGCTCTGAGCGCTTCTGTTGTTTACCAAGAAAATGCACCCCTGTTGGTTATTATTTCTGTATCGCAAAGCGGTGAGTTTCTATTTCTTGGTAATTCGGTTTGTAAAATGGTAAACAAATTATTGAAATTTATTTATTTGATGTGTTTAACATTTGTTTAATGCAATTTTCTGCCTTTTCAGACTATTAATTACAAGCACAGCATCATCAACGGTGATTGCAAGAACTACTGCAATCCCTGCGGTTTTTCCTCTTGGTAAATGCACATAGAGGTTGTAAAGTTTTTGGAATCGATGAACTTACTCGAAGAAGACGATGGTCGAAAACATATGATGAAACATCTTCTGGCGTGCCTTTGACAATCGTTAAGTTAGACGGAGGCTTCACATACGATATTTCACACATGGATGGAATTCGTTAGCGGACAGAGCACACATTTACAAAATATTTATCGTTCTGCAGAACATGCATGCATATTCGACTCCGATTTTATGGGTCGATTACGGAGGACAACCGAACTTCAGTGGGTTGGCCAGTGGCTGAAATGGTATTACCGATGGCAACTAGCAACTGAAAGCTGGTAACTGAGTTGCTATATTGGCACGAACTAATCAAGGCTGTCATAGAATCCATCGTAGTCCGATTTTCCGTGAAATCTATGAAAATGCAATTAAATTCGAGTAGCTACGAACACAGTGCTTGCTTTGAATACACACGTTCATAGCAGTTCAGATTCAGTGATCGCTTTTTTGTAGATTTTATGAAAAATCGGACTACGATGGATTCCGCCACCAATATATTTTCTCCTTTGACAAGATGTTGGAGAATCGGGGCAGCACAGCCCTATACCTACCCTATGCTCTTACGTGCATATGCTAAATTTCTCGTACCTAGCTAAAGTGCTTGACAAAGGCAGAAGGCTTATCTTCAACATTATAACTTAAAGTAAAAGAGTTAAAGATATGCAATAAAAGAATACAACAGAACCAAAAAATCTCAAAACTATTAAACATAAAAAATTGCACGAATAAAATTCATAATTTAAAATAAAATAAAATATCGCAATTGTTTTTTATATGTACATACATATTTACAAAATGAATCTTAAAGCACCCACAGTAAGTCCTAAACATATAAACGACTAATAAGAAAAATAATAAATAACAGTAATGTGAACAAGTATGTCGAGAAATCTCTAAATAGTAGCGAAACTGTATCTGAATAATAACAAGTAATTTTGAGCAAAAATACAACCGACTTTAATGCTCATTCAGGTCGTTCTGGTTACGTAGATCCGACTGTCCTGCCTTTTTTTAAAAAGGTTAAAAAAATGAATACGTATTCTACAGAAATCAAGATACATATTTAAGGACTTTAAGTAAAAATAAACAAAGGAAAACTTGTTCGTGATATCTCGAGGTGTATCCATGATACAAAAATCTGAAGGTAAAACCGCTGAGAGGCAGCCTGAACATTTTTGAAGTTTGCTAACATTACAAAAATGTTTTCAAATTTCCAATCTCACAAATACATTCTCATTTTCAGTCTCAAATAAATGAAAATTTCAATATTTCCATCTATTTGTTTTTGTTTTACTTTTATTTGGCATTTGAGTTGCTCTCAAAATTTCAATTTTATAAAATAGACAAATTTCAAAAAATAAATGATGGCCGACGAATTGAGCAAGCGCTTTTACCTTTAAATATTTGTATCATGGGTGTATTAAACAAGGTGTTATTGACAACTCAGTGCGGCTCTCTTAATATTATGTAAAAAATATAAACAAACGATTCAAAATGCATAAAATTTTTTTTTCAATTTGACTATAGGATGGTTCTTCTGAGAGCAATATCAAATTCAATCACACTTTGTTAAATACATTTTGATCTCTACCAAATAATATACTTCCTCTGTAAATATTCTATGAAGTGTTCCAAAATTTCCTCCGAGCGCGTTCATTGTTGATCATTTGATTTAAATAGTTTGTCATACAATTAATACTATAGTTTGATCGGAGTTAATATATTCTTCAGTAATTAATTATATTATATTAAAACATAAGCTTATAAGAAATTTTTTAGTCTTAACATTTATATCGTGTTCCAAAATTCGCTCCGAGCGCGTTCACTATTGATCTTTTGATTCAAATATTGTTTGTCAAGCATTCAGTAGTGAAGTTTGTTCGGAGTTTATATATTCTTCAGTAATTAAACATGTTACATTGAAATATAAACGTATAATATGGTAGAAAGTTAGAAATTATTTAGTCTTAGGGCCGGTTGCTCAAAGCACGGTTGACACTAATCCCCGGTTAAACATTGTTATCGACGTTACCGACACCGTGTTATTTGCATGGAGTCGAAAACGTCGATAACGATGTTAACCGATGATTAGCGTCAACCAGGCTTTGAGCAACCGGCCCTTAATATGCATATTTCGCTCCGTGTTCCAAAATTCACTCCGAGTGCGTTCACTATTGATCATTTGATTTAAATAATTATTTGTCAAGCATTCAGTACTATAGTTTGATCGGAATATATATATTCTTAAATAATTGATCACATTTTATTAAAATATAAACCTTTAATAGGGTACAAATTGTGAAATTATTTGGCTTTAACATGTATAGTCGGCCAGAGACAATTGCAGAAAAGTGCAACTACTCGTGAAAACTTACAATAAAAACAATGTAGATGAAAGTAATAAATTTTATTTTTAAAATTAGATCCATATATAAAACATTTTACATCATTTATTTGAAGTAAATCGGAATATATTTTTACATATAAGATAGTTTCCATTTAACTCATAAAGTACATATTTCACTACAAATATTTTTAAGATCATTTCGAATTGCAAAAATAGCGCTAATTAGTTGTATTGAAGTATGAAACATTTTATTACGTTCATGGTTAATTATAAAGCGCATAACAATATTTCTCTCGCCATTTATCCGATGTTAACATTTTTCACCACATTATTTTGCTGCACAGCACCCTGAATGCGGCAAAATAGTTGCTCGCAACCCTCAAGTCCTTTATGGGGACCAAATTAACAGCCACAACAACAAAAACCTTTTCTACTGGTATACTGTGATATTGATTCAGATGGAATTTTTTTATTTGTTTGGTTTTTCAGCTCGATAATGATGCACCCAGAGTTGCATTTACTGTCTATGAAAATATTTCATGAAGCGTTCCAAAATTAGCTCCGAGCAACTAAAAGTTGGTTAAGCTTAAATGAAATAGTTTTTTATTAAATATTTATTCCTGGTATTTAGTAAAAATCATTCATCTCAATACTAATATATGAAATGAAAGTAAATAAAAATCTACGAATACATTTCATGAATATTTTGGTCATAGGGCCATTATTAAATACGGACATAACTTTGTCGGGCGTTGGTGCTGACGTATATAGAATTAATGAGTTAGAGAGAGATAAATATACAAGCTCAAGCGCTAATTTAGGTATACTTGTATACCTGTTACTCGTCTGGCATATACTCCAACTGCGAAAATAATGACAATTATCTATGCATCTATTTAGATGCATATTTTAGGTAAATATTATATCGTCGCCTGGATAAAAGATTGTCACAAGTTACTTTCGGTAACTCAGAATTGAAGTTTTTTCATCCACCTGTAGTGAATACACGCAAACGAAAAGTAAAAAGTGACCCGGTTCTAGAAAATTAAACTCATGATAAAGCTGAATATGTCGGAAACTAAAGAAGAACAGATAACTCTATTTGAAAGATTTTGATTAGTTTAGTACGACAGCAATACTAACGCAATTTGTACCAAATAACCGAAAACATTTTAGTCAATTACTCGGAAACTAAAGAAGATATCCAAAAACCACTTATTGTCAAAATGACGCTTCCGGCAATTTTCCATCCAAGCGACGATATTTGAATGTTACTCGCATATTTTCGAGCCTGTATGTAAATTTTCGGGAGAAAGGTGAAAAAGTATATTCATCTGCTGAAAAGATATTTTCGCAGATTCACAATTTATTTAAAATAAATCTATCAGCCCTATCTCCAATTCCATGTGAATAAATCTCTCCAGTGCTTAAATAATTTTCACCACAATAAATAGCTGCACAACACCCTAATTGCCGAAAAAGCGTTGCTTGCAACACTAGTCCTTTATGGGGACCAAACTTGGTGAAAAAAAAATAGCTAAGTTTGTTTACTGGATATACTGAGCTGGATATACTGAGGTGTAGGGAATGCAACTATTGATTGCTTCGTATTTATACATAAGTTTTTCTAGATTTTTGTGGATCTATGTATAAACGAACGGTAAATATTTGTCGTTGAGTTTTTCTGTGGTCGAAATGCAGCTGTATTTCAATGGCAGGATATTCACAAAGAGCAAGATGCCGGAAAACATCCAAAGTAAAGTCTGATGCTGTGAGTATATACGTATGTAGATCAACAAAATTAACGCTTCCACATCATCGCCTATTGCATTTCCAAGGATTTTGACAAAATTTTTACTGAGGTAAGTTCGTATAAAATATTTGTATGTAGTTTATAAATACATATCGCACACCGTCTTCAAAAGAGTCGCAACTCAAAATAATACGTTCGTCAGAAAATGCGAAAAACTTTCGTACCACATGCTAAGGCAAAGGCGACTTTACCTTGGGATGGGGTAGGGGGTGTAGTCATCCAAACCCTCCTTAAACGAAAGAGGATGGACGTCGGTTTATGGAAAGTCACCTCTCACCCCCCTACAGACCCCGTGAGAGCTGTTTGAAAATATGGGAAATTAGTATTTTTTGCAAAAGGATTATAACCCTCGCTAAGTAGAATTATACTTTCTGTGTTGCCGAAGAAGAGGGGCTGAACACCTATTGCAGAGGGCACAGATATACACCCGTATGCTGCAATCCGTCGTAGATTCGATTTTGCTACGAATCGTAAAATTGGTATGCTGAAAGCCCCGTTGGGTAGTAGTGCACTTTAGCGAAACCAGGTCAAAATGGACGGAAACAGTTCGAGAGTGCTATCAATCGACGCGTCTTAACGCCAATAATAACAATCGGAGACCGGAAATTCTCATTTTGAATTCATTAAAGAGTTATTTGCAAAAAACACTTGTACTTTCCGAACTCAATTTTACACATATTTATTAGTTTTTATGCATTTGTGATGTTTTAAGTGTACACTTTCGCGAAATTCTGTATTTAATAGCAATATTCCGATGGTGAAAATCCGCACAACAATCTTGTGTACCCTACAAGAACACTACGCGTTATATAACCAATCATGTAACGCAGAGCTGTAACGTAAATGCATGTTATACTCCCATAGAATGTTTACGTTAATTTCCTAAGGGCGATATGAAAAATCTAACAGGATGTTTCCTGTACGTGTGATTTCTCGTCTCTTCCTAACGCAGGTATAACCAAATTATGTGAAGCGTATACCTGTGCTCTTTACTCCCATTATAAATGTTGAAGAAACATGTTATGTATAACTAGTTAAGCGTAACGTATGGAAATATTATGTGTAACGAGTTAGGCATAACGTGGAAGCTTGTTATGAGTGACTAGTTAAGCCTAACGTAAGAAAACGTTATTTGTAACTAGTGAAGCCTAACGAAAGAAAATGTTATGTGTAACGAGTTATGTATAACGTGAAAGCACGTTATGTGTGACTAGTTAAGCATAACGTAAAGAAACGTTATTTGTAACTATTGAAGCCTAACGAAAGAAAATGTTATGCATAACGAGTTAGGTATAACGTGAAAACATGTTATGTGGAACTAGTTAGTCATAACGCACACATTAGTTACACATAACTGCCATACAAGAAATTATAATTTATAAACTTATAAACTTTCGAGTTTTGTAATAAATATTACAAATCATTTTATTATATTTTTGTTTAATTTGAACACAAAGGTATGTAGATTCTTATACCATATTAAATTAAGATTTATGTATGTAGATACACTTAACAGCAAATGTCTGCATACACCATTACTTTTTTAAATTTCACAATATTTTTCAAGCTAAATTTTTTTGTTATTTTTTTTATAAAAGTATGGATTATCGTTAAAAAAATGCCATATAAACCAAGGTTTCAAACTTTAAACAAAATTAAGGAAAATTCAACGAATTGCAATCACAATTTTCAACTTTTTAATCAGATCAACTTCATGTAGTATGTTGTTGTTTTCTGCACGCGTTGTTTTCCGACAATAAAAAAAAGGCCATAACACTGCGTAGTAGAAATTTGATTACATAAATGCAAATTTTGATGTAAAATCGTTGAATTTTTCTTATCATAATTTGTATAAAACTTGAACCTTGGTATAATATGATTTTGTTACAAGCATGATCGATATTTTTATAAAAAAAATAACAAACAAATTTTAGCTTGTAAAATATTGTGAAATTTAAAAAAGTAATGGTGTATGCAGACTTTTGCTGTTAAGTGTATATTAAATTTAAAAATTAAAGACAAAAATTCATTTTCAAACGTTAAATGGAACAAAGCTTACATAAAAACAGGAACAATAAGAAAAAGGAATAATAAGAATATAGAAAAAGGCAATTTTTTTTAGTTTTTTAGAAATTTTTTTTGTCTCAATCGATTGTGACTGAGCCCAACCGATTTTCTCATGTTTTTTTCAAAGCCGGCAACGCCAAGCGTTTTGTAAATATCTGTAAAGGAAAAAGGAGAAAGTTAAGAAAATGCAGACATCTTTAATAATGTAGATGATATACCACTTAGCCCTTTGTCAACCAAAGTCAGCTCCGCCAGGGCACGCTTTTGTCACTTACCCTCCCAGTTGAAACTATATAACAATTTGTCTGTAAACAAATGTTTGACAACAACGTCAACGTCGTCAGAGACAGCTTTTATTTTGAGGAGATACGTTTTCTGAAATATGAACATGATTAAAAATTTTAAATTTCAGATTGAAGTGTTCAAGTCAATACCATAGCTTGGGTGTAGTTAGGGTCCGTCAACTTTTCCTCCACTTCGAGTACGGCGGCCATCGTCGCCATAGGCATCATACTGGCTATTTCGTCCATTATTGGGTCGCTAGCTTCGCCTGTCATCTTGCAGACACATACCTCTATTTTTTTGTTGCTACCTTCATTTCGGACAACATTTTGTTGTGGGCAGCAAACTCCGCTTTTGTGACCATCTAGATGTTATAAATAATACATTTATACATGTTATAATAAATAATACATATAAAGTAATATGAAAAAATTAACAAACAAACTTCATTGTTTAATCTTTGCTCCAGCTGGTTTTGCTTCTCTACTACTTCTCTCAATAGCCTCAATACATTTTCAAAGTACTCGGAATCGACTGTAAATCCGGTTGACGCGTCATCGGTTGGTGCGTTCTCAATTGGTGTGTTGTCGGTTGTCGGTGTTGTGTGTTCGTCCTTAACATGTTCACGATCGTACTTCCGCTTCATGATTTTTGAACCTTTTACTTGTGTCGATGCCATTGCTGGGTTGATTGTAGATAATATATATACATATATATTAACGTATTTGCATGAAAAAAAAATATTATGTACAATATATTTGTTTTTTCAAATTAAAACATGTTAGTTTGAAAATTCGTGGAAAAGTTGATGCAGAAGCGGAATAAGTATGAAGTGCCCTTGACGTGGAATGCAAAAGTATTTATGTTCAAGCGATTCTTTTGTTACTTCAATTTCTTCATCGCTTAACTGACTTGCTAAGACAATACCTAATCCAGAGTATGATTCCAGTGGAAGTTCAAATAAATTTTCCAATACTTTAAAAATTCGACAAACTACTTTATCCGTTTGAGAATATTTAACAATTTTTACTGGTCCTAATTCTTTACAAAAAGAGAAGGAATTTCTTTCTTTTTTAACATCTATTTGAAAAGAATTAGATTTTTTTGAAGTCTCGAAATATAGTTCTTGTCCTTGCCTTTCCCCAAGTCTCAAATACAGTTGTTGGAGAATTTTCAAAATCGTCTAAGTGATGTTGGGAAATATTGCTTCGTAATGCCCATGCTTTTAATTCTACACTTTTTTCTTTTTGGTTATTCTCCATAGCTACTAGATCTCCTAGTTCACATTCGGGCACAAAATCTTCCCCACTAACACTGGACGCACTACCCACACATTCGGCATCATGTGTTTCCATATAGGCACATTCACTTACTCCACTTCCCGTAGCACCAATTTCCTCAAATGAGCAAGTTCAAAGAGCCTTTTATATTTTTTTACGTTTTCCTTATAGATTTTCTTCTCCTTGCTCAAGCAATTAGCAAAATGTCGTTTTTGCATTTTTATATTCACTTTATACTTGCCTTTAATCCTGGAGTGTTTTTTTTATTTAATTTTATTTATTTTCGATGTAAAATACAAAACTTCTGATATCAGATGCAACCGCACGCTTCACAAAATCTTTTAAATTAAAATTTTAGGTTAGCTTCACCTGCAAAATGGCAAACGTCAAGAATGGGAATAAAGAATAAATAAGAAAATTGAAGAATTTTCCATATTGTGGTCTCTTTTCCACACATAAACCTTTATAGAAGAAGAAATGTGAAAAAGAATCTGCGTGAATTTAGAACAAAATTTTGACATGCGGCTTTGAGTGTGTTGGTGAAATAGCAATTTTTGTTTGAATGTATTGGAGTTTGCGTTAGTCGTGTCTGGTAGGGTAGTTAATAATAAATGAGATGGAGGAAAACTGGTGTTGTCACTCTATTAATACAATTTGTATTTCAACTTTAAAAAACACCCAAATAATGCACAAGAAATATACTTTTGTGAAAAGGGGATTTCTGTTCCTTTTCTTCGCACACAGAAAGGAGAATTCTACGTACTGAGGGTTATAATCTCTAAGCGCGGCCGAAGGCCGCCTTCGCAGAAAGGTGTTCTCTGCAAAAGGTGTTCTGCCCCTTTTCTTTGGCAACACAGATAGGAGAATTCTACGTTGTGAGGGTTATAATCCTTAAGCGCGGCCGAAGGCCGCCTACGCAAAAAGGTGTTCTGCCCCTTTTCTTTGGCAACACAGAAAGGAGAATTCTACGTTGTGAGGGTTATAATCCCTAAGCGCGGCCGAAGGCAAAACGCTTTTAAATGCGTCTTTGTTTGTTTTCAAAAGCTAAATGGATCAGATACTAGCAATATCCTTTGTATATTAACGCAACTGTTAGCTGCAGCATGTTCTTCCTCCTGAGACAAAAGTGCTCCGGCCACTGATTCCATTGTATTCTACTTAATTAAGGAAAATTCTTTTAAAATAACGACTAAAAAAATCTTTAATTTCACTATTCGCTTGCGATTATATTGATTTTGATTTGTTTCCGTCAAAGCAGCTGATTAAAATCTTTGAATTTCGCGCTTTTAGCTGGCAGTGCCGTTGATACTTACGATCGGATTACTGATACGGGTGATAGTAAGTTTTATTTTTAATTTATTAATAATGTCCGTTGAAAATGTCGAATTTTTTTGCAAATTTCCGAGCAGAGCGTCAAACAAAAAATATCCACGAAATATCTCTGAGGGAATATAACCCTCAGGTAGAAGAATTCTCCTTTCTGTGTTGCCAAAGAAGGGGGGCTGAACACCTTTTGCAGAGAACAACTTTCATTTACTCCATTTATTTGCATCAAATTCATCAAAACATGGGGCGAAAAGTGTAAAGTGCAAGTGTTTTTTGCGAATAACTCTTAAATTAATTAAAAATCTTAATTGCCCGAAAAAAGAAATTTCCTCTCACTCGAATATGGGAAGTCCGAGCATTGCCGATATCGAGTTCTCATAAATGAGAAAAACGATGCAAGTAAAAGCGCACAGTCAACGACGTAGCGTATGGGAATCGCGTTTTAACGAAAACTCACCACCGCATGGCGGTGACGATGCGTTGCTTCTCTCTCTCTTTATCAACAGTAAATTTGATATGCTGCTACGTACGTCAACCTACGTTTACGCTACGTCGTTGACTAACTGAGCTTTAATCCATTCGCGATCACTCGCAACAGCTTATCGCGAAAAATTTTCAACGACGTTGTAAGGGAGATAAGTTTCGCATTTTTTTTGGTTACCCTGCAAGAACACTACTAGTTAAATCACTGAAAGTTTCACAGATATATTAGTTAGTTCCTTTATAGAAATATTAGTTAGCCTCCAAACACGAGTTTCTTAGAAGTCTTAGATTGATTTCAGGTATAACTCAGTTAGGCCTACCAAAAATAATTTTTTGACTTCTGGTATATGTTTGTTAGGCCTACCAGAAATATTAAATAGACTTCAGGTATATGTCTGCTAGGCCTGCCAGAAGTCTTATGCCGAATTTCCACTAGGCATTGAAATGACAAAAAATTTAAGCGATTTAAAAAAATGTCATGTGGAAATGAACTTAATGACTGTGTTTTTAATGTAAAACATGATTATTTTTTAATGCCCGACTTTGTCATTTGTCATTTTTGCCATTTAATGCCTAGTGGAAATCCAGCATTAGCTATACTTCTGGTACATGTCTGTTAGGCCTACCAGAAGTCTTAGATATACTTCTGGTATATATTTGTTAGGCCTACCAAAAATATAGTTTCACTTCTGGTATATCGCACACCGTCTTCAAAAGAGTCACAACTCATAATAATACGTTTGTCAGAAAATGCGAAAAACTATTTCTTAGCACATGATAATCATATAGGCAAGGGCGACTTTACCTTAGGTTTTTTTTTTTTAACAAATTATAACAAAAATTTGCTCCAGCTTTTGCCGAAAGGTAAATAAAAGCTCTGTGTACATTTTTAGCGCATAATCTCAAAAATGCCAAATTTTGAGATGTGACTCTTTTGAAGACGGTGTGCGATATGTCTGTTAGGCCTACCAGAAGTCTTCGTTAGACTTGTGGTACATGTCTGTTAGAAGTCTTAAGGTGTTCTTACACGATATGTTTTTGCATGTGTACATGCCACTTTTTACATATGGAAATGCCAACATATCGTGTAAAGGCAAATAAGATTTGTTTCTGTACAAAGCATATGCCCGTACATACGAAATAGAAATGTTCCAATTTTCATCTGACACACAGATAGAATTATCTAAGTTTAGTTTATTTCGTTTTCAAAGATCGTATTTTTAAATAGTTAAATAAAGACTGTGAATTTGACAGACATACGCAATTATATTTGTATTGAAAAAGTCACATTTACAGATGCAAATACATATCGTGTAAGAACACCTTTAAAATTTATGGCCTTATTCATAAAAAATAAAATAGCTTTAAAAAAGGTTTACAAACCGAAAAATTTATGAAAACGTCATTTTATAAAGCTCTTAAAACCTACTTTATTTTTTATGAATAAGGCCATTAATTTTTAACTATAAAAATGCAAACGATATAAAAATAAACTCATTTGGCCTTATTCATAAAAAATAAAGTAGGTTTCAAGAGCTTTATAAATTGACGTTTTCATACATTTTTCAATTTATAAACCTTTTATAAGACTACTTTATTTTTTTTTATGAATAAGGCCCATTGTCTTCAAAAATAAAATAATTAGATCAAAAGAAAAACATTTTTAAGAATAATAATAACACAGGCCAGCAAAAATGGGAAAACAATTTGTTGTGGCAAATTTAAAAGCCTTTTTTTCATAAACTTTCTTGTGCTGATTACGAATCCGTAAGTATAAAGTTTCCATCAGCTCCAGATTTTGAGAAAAACGCGGTCAAAGTGTAAAAAATCTCCTTTCTGGCAATATTTGAGAAGCAGATAGAAGGTGATAGAACCTTCAACTTAGGCTTCAATTAAAGCTAAAGCTCTCGACTACTATCCTTGAAAATACCATCCCTGCACCTTGACCCGATGGTCACTAACACTGGCTACACACGACGAACATCTGCGCGCACATGTGCGCCAACATGCTCGCTGTCGTTTGCCATAGACGGTGATCGGCTCATATGTGATTTTGTCATGGTAGCGTAAAGATGATTAGTAAAGACGCGGATGATGCAATTGCAATGCTTTTAACTTAGCTTTTTTATGTATGTGTTACTTAAATTTATTTATATTTTACTTGTATGTATGGCCGCTGTGGTGTAGTGGTAAGCAGTGTGCGCTTTCACTCATCAACACCTGGGTTCAAGCTCTGGTCAAAGCAACATCGCAAAAAATATGGAAAAAGGTTTTTTCTTAACAGCGGTCGTCCTTCGGCAGGCAATGGCAAATCTCCGAGTGTATTTCTGCCAGCTTCTCATAAAAATACAATCGCCGTTCGGAGTCGGAAACTGTCGGAAAACTGTAGGTCCCTCCGCTTTGTGTGACAACATCAAGGCGCACGCCACAAGTCGGAGGAGAGGCTCGGCCAAACACTAACATATGTGTAACGCCAATCTATTATTATTGTTATGTACATATGTACATATACTTCTAGTAATTTAGCCTCATTTATCAAAAATTCAATTAACGAACATGGCTTGGATGCATTTATCCGCCGATGTGCACACTTCAAGCATCAACACAAAATGAGGTTGTTGTTTGTGTTTCCAATGCGATGCTCGCAAACCACGCTACAAACGACGAGCATGCACCGCAGGCCAAGCATCTGCGCGCACATGTTCGTCGTGTGTAGCCACTGTTAGGCACGGTGCACATTAGAGCGATACGATATGCGATGCGATATGCGATACGATATGGATGCGACATCGACATGCTGAGTACGTGGTAATTCGTAGGAAGCGATGAAAACTGTGCACACTTGCACGACACGGATACGGCAAACTGACCATATAGGTGTTTAGATTTTGGGCACCAAGCTCGGACCTGCAAAAATGAGGATCGCAGCGGTTGCTGCTTTAAATGCGGGGAGAAAGGCCACAATGTTAAACAGTGTAGCAAGGAAGCCGCTTGCGTGCTCTACTAGTGGTCAAGCCAATGAAGCCCATATTGCAGGTGGTAAGCAGTGCCCATTCTATCAGCGTGCATTAAAGGCTAAAGTATGAAGCTTCTACAATAAAATCTTAACCACTGTTCAGCTGCTCAGGAGCTACTCTGTCAAACCATTATAGAGGAAGACATTGACATCGCCATTTCAAACGAGCCATATAAGACAGCAAGCAAGGGTACGTGGATATCAGGTAAAAAAGGAAAAACTGCTATATGGGTCAATGGGGAGCAGTGTCTTACTGAGAAACCTTATAGTCAGTAGTATTTTGTCAGAGGTAAGATCGGCAGGATATATATCTATAGCTGTTATGCACCACCGAGCCTGAGTTATCAAGAATTTGAATCTTTTCTAGATAGACTAATTCAAAACGCCATGTTATATTCTCCAAAGCTTGTAGCGGGTGACTTTAATGCATGGGCCGTTGAATGGGGAAGCGCCCTAATGCCCTATTAAAGGCATTTGCACCACTCGACTTGTTACTGAATACAACAAAACACTTTTGAGAAAAATGGCAGGGGCTCCGTCGTTGACATTGCATTTTGCACCCAATTACTGGCCAGAAAAACCACTGGGAAGATTAGTGACATTTATACTCAGAGTGATCATTTAGCGATTTTAATTGAAATCTGTGATGTAAGAAACCCTTCTAGCAGATGTTTCAAACAGTATGGTAAAGGATGGTACAAAGAATCGTTCGACCCAAATATGTTTAAACTAGTAGAAGCTAGCTAGTAGAACTAGCAGAAGAGCTTTCAAAAGCTGTTATCAGGGCATGCGATGCGTCAATGAGCAAAAAGGGCCACAAAATTACAGGAAAGCGGGTTTACTGGTGGACACCGGAAATAGCTGAACTTCGATCTGAATGCAATAAAGCCAGAAGAAAATGTCAGCGAATAAGAACGGACGCCCAAAGAGACCATTTTAAATCTTTACGGAAACGGTTAAAGGTTGCAATTAAAAATAGCAAGAAAGCGTGTTTTAAAGACTTGTGTAACGAAATTGATGAATACCCGTAGGGCGGTGCCTACAAAGTCGTCATGAAAAAATTCAACAGTAGCCAAATGCAGACACCTACTTGCCCGATACTTCTTAAAAAAATAGTAGAAACACTGTTCCCGAAAGCGGAAACTAGCCCAGGGCCTGCACCAAGTGAAACACATACAAATGTTTACTATCCGCCACTTGAGCCTGATGAAATCAAATGCGCGGCCAAACGGCTAAAGAATAATAAATCTCCAGGTCCTGATGGTATTTCCAACATTGCTATTAAAACTGCAGTTGACGACTCTCCGTCAGCGTTTTTAAAAGTGTTCGACTCCTGTCTTCGTAGCGGAGTATTCCCGAATAAATGGAAGAAGCAAAGATTAGTCTTACTTCCAAAGCCCAACAAACCACAAGGTGAACCTAGTTCTTCTAGACCCCTATGTATGATTGATTCCTTAGGTAAGTTACCCGAACGCATCGTTTGCAATCGCTTGTGGCAGCATATCGATAACAAAGAATGTCTGTCAGACCCTCAATTCGGGTTTCGGAAGGGTAGGTCAACTGTCGATGCTATACGCAGCGTTACCGACATCGCTGAAGAAGCTATTAAGGGTAAGCGTCGGAAAAATGGGTCCAAGGAATACTGTGCTATAGTCACCCTAGATGTAAAAAATGCTTTTAACTCGTTGAGCTGGTCGCACATTATAAATGCGTTAAAAATTATTCATACACCACAGTATTTAATTAATATAACAGTTATCTATCTAATAGAGTTTTGTCCTACAACACGGAAAGAGGCAAAGTAAGCTATAGAGTCTCCAGAGGAGTTCTCCAAGGTTCTGGCCTTGGCCCACTTTTGTGGATCATAGCCTACGATGGCGTATTGCGTCTACCCATTCCAAAAGGAGTTAAAATAATTGGTTATGCCGATGACATCGCTTTGGTGGTTGTGGCTAAAGACATAAATAGGGTGCAAATGGCCACAACAAATGCTTCGAGGGAGCTGAACTTAGCAATCGAGAAAACAGAAGGTGTACTCATAACAAGTAGGAAGAAAAAAGAGACCGCAACCTTGAATATAAACGGGTATGTCTTTGATACATTACCAGCAGTGAGGTACCTAGGTGTAATGATTGATGCAAGGTTATATTACAAAAGTTGCGTTCCAGATGCTTCACGATATTCACGAAATTCACGATTTGCAGGAACAGCTGTTTTCCCCATTAATAAACCTTATGGGAGGTGGTGACCTGGAACGACTTCCTGTAAAAACCTGCAAATCGTGAAGCATCTGGAACGCAACTAAAGTTCACATTAAAATGGTAAGTACAAAAACGGCAAAAGTTCAAAGCGCGTTAGCTAGACTGATGGAAAATGTAGGCGGTCCAAGTCAAAACCGCAGAAAACTGCTAACAAAAGTTACTGAATCAGTTATAATGTACGCGGCCCCCGTCTGGGGTCATGCACTGCAGCAAAAGTCCTATGCTAAGCTTGTAAACTCTGTTTTCCGTCTTAGTGCCCTTCGCGTTTGCAGCGCTTTCCGGACAGTTTCACATGATGCAGCCTGCGTCATAGCTGGTATTATGCCTGCCGATTTGTTGGCTAACGAAATCCAGCGTACCTATATAACGGCTCAAAACCCGCGATCGCGGCCGAACGCCAAATAAGCCTATCACTATGGCAGCAACGCTGGGCCTCCTCTTCCTCTGGGCGCTGGACTTTCCGACTCATTCCGAGCATCGAAGCTTGGCTATACAGATCGCATGGCGAAGTTGATTTTTATATGACTAAGCAATTAGTGGTCATGGCTGCTTTCGACAGTACCTGCACTATTATGGTCACGATGACTCGACGGCATGTAATATATGTGAAAATGTCCCGGAAACCGCTAAACATGTACTTTTCGAGTGCCCTTCGTTTTCATTAGAAAGAGAGAGATTAAATACTTTGACTCAAGAGGCCCTGAGTACGGAAAATATCATTGAACATATGTTGAATGATAAAAAAGTATGGGGCACATTAAAGAATATAAGCAGAGAAATAATGACAAAGCTAAGGATCAGAGAGCAACGCCGCCGCTTAGAAAGAGGAAACAGTTGAAGTTACTTGTGTACAAAATTTCTTCTTTTATCTTATTTTTGCATTTCTTTGCAGGTAAACCCTGTGAACACCAAAACGCTCCTGAACCCCTAATCACATTAGTGGATGGGGGATTATGGAAAGGGCGGTATGACGTGGGGCATGTTTATGCCACGGCCTCACCCCGATATAATACGCGAGTGGTTCCGGGGAGGTGGGTTTTGGAGAGTTTCGCACGGGCCACTTGATGGATAGTTTCCCTATCCCAACGTCCGTTAAAAAAAAAACACTTGCACGACAGCGATACCGCTGCGATATAATATTGCATACGTATCGCATGTGCAACACGGTTTGTTGAACGAGGTGAAATTAGTATGGCGCAGAATTTTTTTCGGCATAAGCATGGCCGTTTCACAAGAGGAAGCATCTTCCTCAATTTTTTTAGTCGAATTAATAAAAAAACCGATGGTTAATGGAGCTATACAGAAAAAGAGTACTGTAGAACAGACATGACTAGTTTGGCATGGAGAAATATAGCGTCTGGGGTCAAGGACACAGGTAAGTACACAATAGAATATTTTTGTCATGGTTTATTTGCCTTTGTTTTCACATCTTTAAAAATAAATTAAAAGAAACCAATCATTTTATTTATTCATTTATTTGTTTAATTATCTACCGGACACTCCTCACAGACAAACAGGAAAAAAATTAACACGTTATACAAAAATAGTCATAATATTTATACATACAGGATAACAACAACATATGTGTAAATTATTTGAAAATAAAATAATCATTGATATTAATTTTAAAACGTTCTCTACATGAGTAAAGGTCGACATAATTACAAACAGAGTCACATAGGCAAATGGATCTGTGAATGGGCTCATTGTTAGCAAATTCCGTTTTTCGCGTTGGTTTACGTATTTTTCTCCTAGAAGCCTCTCCGGCGCATAAAAAGGCAGAAGCGAAAGTAGTTCTGGGGAATCGATTTTGTTATCGCATATATCCTTGATGAAAAGAATACTACAAATTTTTCTCTTATTAGCAAGGTATTGTAAATTCAGTATTCTGCATCTCAGCTCGTAAGATGGCATAGATTCGTAAGAAAACATTCGTCGAAGGGCAAATTTTTTAATTTAATTAATTTAATTTAATTTATTTAATATTAGATTGAAAACATTAGTGCATTAAGATGTAATCTTTACTTGCACAATGATACAAACAAATTGCAAAAAAATAAAATAAAAAGTACAGATAATAATTAATATTACAATATAGATTAAGGTAATGTATACGTTGAATTACAAATCATATATTCTAAAATAAAACAAAACAAAGTTGCCTATGTGCAACACGTTCTTCCAGGACAGTGGAAGGGAGTTCCAGAGCCTTACCGCATTAATAAAAACAGTCTTGAAGTGCATAAATAGTTAAATCTCGGAAGAATAGGACCTGACGAACGTGTACTCTTGGAGAACTTAAGATTATTGTACAGATATTCCGTGCTCTTCGTGATAAATAATTTGAACATAAAAATGCAATTACGCGCGTTCAGAACATTTTGTAAATCACAGGTTAGTATAGAATCACGTATAGATGAGAGATGATCGTATTTCTTTAAACCAAATACATACCTTGTGGCAGAGTTAATGGCGATATTCAATTTTTGGAGTGAATGAGAGTCTAATTTGCCGTAGACGATTTCAAAGTACGTGATATAAGGAACAATTAAACTTGTAATTAACTTTTTCTTAGTGGCTACCGGTACATAAGGTGAATTACTCTAAGACATCGTAGAGTAAAAAAATATTTTACTCACAACTTCATCAACATGATCATCACACGCAAGTCTAGAGTTAATAACGAAACCCAAACTCCTGGCTTTGTCAACTAATTTAAGCTGGCTGGGACCAATAAATAAGGTGGGAATATCCGATGCCAAAAATTTATCTTTGGCGACAGGTATTACACAAGATTTTTGAGCATTGAGGCAAAGTAAATTCCCCTAGACCATGCTAATATTGAGCTTAAGTCCTCGTTAAGTTGTAGACAAATATCCTGAATCGATCCCATTTTATTAGAAACATACAGCTGCACATCATCGGCATAGGCGTGTAAGCGCGCATGAGCGCAGGTGCTGAAAATGTCATTTATGAAGATGCTAAACAAAAGTAGGCCCAGTATGGATCCCTGAGGGACACCAGAGTATATATGCACGAGGTTAGAACAATTATTGCCGATTTTCACCTTTTGAAACCTGTCGCTCAAATAGGTCTCTTTGAGTTTTACTGCAGTTTTGCTGAAGCTGAAATACTTAGCTAGTTTTTCACACAATAAATTGTGGTTTACAGAATCAAAAGCCTTAGAAAAATGAAGCAGACAAAGTAGTGTTAAATGGCCTTGATCGAATGGCTGACGTATATCGTCTAAGACTTTAACAACAGCGGTAGAACAGGAGTGACCAGCTCTGAAACCACTCTGCAGAGGGTTTAGGAGTTTATCTTTATGAATGAAATCAGATATTTGCTGCGCTAAAAGCATCTCGAACACCCTTAGAAAGTCCTGTTAATATACTTATGGGCCTGAATTCACAAATCAGAGAGCCACCAGGTTTTTTGGCTATTGGTGTGACATTTGCTACTTTCCACTTGGATGGAAGTGGTTAAACAGTGATTGAGTATGTGTGTAAAGCAAGCGAGAATGTAAGGCAAAATTAATTTGGCAAACTTGATCGGAAGCTCATCATTCCCCACAGCATTAGATTTAATACTGCATACGCATCTAGCCACTTCCTCCTCGCAAACGGAACTAAATTGAAATCTCGAGAGACTGTGTTGGTCAGATGACGAAGAAGTGGTCTTTGTTACAGACGTGTAATAAGTCAAGCAACTACTTGAAGAAAAAAAATGATTGAGTTCATTGGGATCAAGTGAGCAGGGTATTTCTGAGTTTGACCGCACGCCCAACCTTTTCAAATTTGTTTTTGATTTGGAATAGCAAAAAAGATTTGGTGTTTGTTTTAATGTTAACGATTAACTATTTGTTTCAAATATTCAAATAATTACACTGTACGGCAAAATCAACTTTTTTTCTTGGTATTGGACCAAACCAATTTGTTTAAGAGATTGAGTCATAGGTAAACTATTGATTTCTCCGTTTTTCGAATTTAGCCTCCGAAATCGTATGGGCCTTCGAAGTTCGAAATAGGACCTTTGGTAAAAAATTTAATATTTAATTGTTGCATGTAAATAACTAAAACCCTAAAAATATAGACGTAGTCTATAACTTTTTTTGAGCAAACTTATATTACAGGTCCTATAAGGGGTCTAAGTTCAGATCTTCGAAAAACTAAATTCCTTATATTTCAAACAATTTCGAACTGATTTTTTTAAAAATTTATATCGTTATATATGTGATGCCGGTCTCTAAAAAACGAATAAATTTTTCAAACGTGCCGCCCTTATATATAGCTGATAAGTGTCTAAAACTTGTGTCTAAAGTGACTAATCTTGGGTTCATCATTAATACTAGTTTAACATGTGACGATCATGTGAGCTCGATAGTTAGCAAAGTATACAACATCCTAAGAAATTTACGAATTTCTGCAAATTATACGCCGGTCCAGGTTAGGAGAAAGCTTGCGATGCAATTAATAATGCCAATCATATGCTACCCTGAGCTTGTTTACAGTAAATTGAGTTCTCTATCTGCTCCTAAAATTGATGTAGCATTCAACCATGTTACACGATTTGTGTTCGGGTTAGCTAAATTTGACCATATCTCTGGTTGGAGATCACGTTTATTAGGCTGTGAAATATCTGATTATCTGAAAGCCAGAAACTGCATCTTTCTCTATCGACTTATTGTGCACAAGGAGCCTGGTTATCTATATGACAAGCTCATTTTCCCTAAATCAGCTCGAATTAATGATTTGATAGTACCAAATTATAATTATCTAACCTCCGCACGGCTATTCTTTGTCAACGCTATTCGAACATGGAACTCTATTCCAATGGCAACTCGCAGTAGTCTCAATAAAAGCAACTTTAAGGATGTTCTATATGCGTACTTTCGTTAAAATAATTTATGTTGTATAATTATGAGTTTCGCTGAGTATAAAGTCTCAAGTTAATATGTGTAACCACTGTATTGCTTCAATTGTCTGTACTTTTTATTATGAGTTTTAGTTTTACTTTGTTATAAGTTTTAGTTTAAGTAACCATTATTACCTTGTCATATCTTTCTGGTTTTACCTTTTGTTTGTTGTACTATAAAAGATCTCAGATCTTATTGTACTAATGACTTAGCAAATAAATGAAATGAAATGCACATTTGTATACTTCGTATATAAAAATTTTAGAAAAAACATTTAAATGAAAAAATACCTTTTTTATATAAAAAAATAACATTTTAAACCAAAAAAATACTAACCGATTTTTAAATGGTATCGTTGTAAAGATGACTAAATCCCCTTTCTTCTGATATGCATATTTATATACTTCGTACATAAAAATTTGAGAAAAAAACATTTAAAGGAAAAAATACCTTTTTTTTATAAATATTTTAAACAAAAAAATTACTAACCGATTTTTAAAAAATTGGTATCATTGTAAAGGCAATTAAACTCCTTTCTTCTGATATGCATATTTGTATAGCTACAGCAATGTCTTCGTCGGATGAACTCATGGTATTAACTGAAAGGCGAAAGGCGTTTGTGTAGCTATCACACCGCAAATGGCATCGCGAGTCGCTTCGCATGTCGCATCGCGTATCGCATCACTCTAATGTGCACTGCGCGCATTTCATATCGCATCGCGTATTGTATCGCGTATCGTATCGCATATCGCATCGCATATCGTTTCGCTCTAATGTGCCCCTTGCCTTATAGTCGTTTATTGAACAGTGAAAACTGATTTTTGGCTCTGGCTTTTGGCTATCGCTATTAAACCTTCAATTAAGGCTTAAATGAGGCTTGAACTTTCGACTACAACCGCTGAAAATACCGTTTCGGCACCGTGACCCTAAGGTCACTTATAGGCATAGTCATAGTTTGGCTTTAATTGAAGCGTAAGTGAAAGGTTCTATCACCTTCTATCTGCTACTCAAATATTGCTAAAAACGAGATTTTTTTAACTTTGACAACGTTTTTCTCAAAATCTGGAGCTGATGAAAACTTTACACTTACGGATTCGTAATCAGCACATGAAAGTATATGAAAAACAGCTTTAACATTTGACGCATCAAAATCAGTGTTGTCATGTGTAATATTTCATTATTGGGTTTAAAAATGAAAATATTAAAGCTACATATTATTATTATACTTATTTTAGTTTATTTTGACTTAATCGGATTTTTTGCTTAAGCCGATTATGGGCTAGGTCAATTGACTTTTTAATATTTTTTTCCAATGCTAGTCGTCCTTCGGTTTTGAATACATCTGGAAACAATTTCAACAAAAGAGTCAAACGATTGTTTAAATTTAGTGAAGTTAAAATTTCCTCCACCAGATTTAACGCGCGTAATGATTTTTTCTCCTACCGCCCGTCCCAATTATAGAGTTGCAGAAATTCATCGGTGAATAATTTCCGGATAACGTCATTCACGCTTCCCGCTGCCCCCTTTATTTTATAAATGAAGCTTATCTGATTTGGATAAAAATATCGAAAAAATTGTTGTATTAACTTTCACACTGATACTTTCGTCTATATATGTATATGTATATCGTCGTTTAAAGTACAAAACCGCTTATCAAGATAATCAAAAACCGCGTATGTGAGGTTGCCCAAATTTTATAGTAGAGAGTAAAAACAGTCGTATGTCAAAATGGTTCTCTGTTTTATAAAGTAATCGCATTTCAGACTAGTATATTTCAGGACGAACGGTTTTGTACTTTAAACGACGATATGTGTGTATGCATACAGTGAATTACCATTGCCTGTTTGTACTCGGGATTCTTGAGTTTTGCCTCCACCTGGATTGAGCAGTCTACACTGGAGAGAGGGAGTGTGCTGGAAATCTCTTGAATGGTTTCATCCTCGGTTTCTCCGGTCATATGGCAAAGGGAATTTTGAACCTTTTTAAGCATAACCTGCACTCCCTTATCATTTGGTTCTAGGCCAACATGTCGCTGCGTTCTACAACCTATTACACAAATAAAAAGTTATACTCGTATACATATGTACCAGGGTTGTTGCGAATATTATTCCGAAATAAAAGTTCTTTCCGGATAATAAACAAACCGCTTATCCAAATCAAACAAGTTTGGTATCAAATGAAAGAGGATTTAAATAGCTTTAAAACTGAAATGTCTAAACGAAGAAAGCCACATATTGAAAAATATTTCAATAAAAAATGTTAATTACCATAAAACAAATCTTGTGTCAGGTATATGCATTTCTTTAGTATTAAATTATAAAAAAAAATATAAATAGAGGTCGTTAGCTATTTCCGTTTAAAAGCTATTTCAGTCCTCTTTCATATGATACCAAATTTGTTTAATTTGGACAGGCGGTTTGTTTATTATGCGGAAAGGACTTTTATTTCGGAAAAATATTCGCAACAACCCTGATATGTACCTAAGTATATTTAGGTAACATACAGTTGCTCACAGTCAAAATGGGACCGGTGTCTTTTTACTGTACATATTCACATCGATTTTAATGCAATATCTTTTTTGTTATTTTTCTAACTACTTTAAACTTACACTTTATTATATTGACATTTAATGCGTGTATACCCAAAAAAGATATTACATGAAAATCAATGTGAATATAGTAAAAAGGTAACTTGACTGAATAATTGTATGTATTAATATATTAGCAATATGCTCAAATCAGCAGAATCGAAAGCAAAAGTTTTCTTATCTCTTAAATATATCTGTAAGGATGTATGTAAGTGTTTTCATATAATATACATTTTGTTTTATTATTTTATTGATTTTACCACTACTTTTCTGTGCATAGTATGCTCTTTTGGATGTGGTGGGGCCTTCCGAGCTGTTATATGCACTGGATGTTTCCCATCGTTTTTGTGAAATGCGCTTGCCTATGAGGAAATTAATTAAATTTAAGTAATAATAATACTGAATTCTTCCTTTACCTTGATTTGGAGTCGATTTCATAGAAGGCTCAAAAATATCTCGTTGTGGTTCCAATATTGAATTATATAAGTGTACTCTTTAAACGTACTTTTTAATAATAAGAAAAAAAACTAACGAAATGTGTTGCTAATAAAAGCTAGTTTAAAAAATTATTGAAGAGGTGATGTAAAAGGGGTATGAGAATGAATTTATTTTATAAAACTAGTAAGAGACCAGTTGAGCACGAATTTTGAAAGTGCAGAAAAAGTAGCAATTTTGAAGAATATTGATTTTCCTTTTCTAGTTAATAAATGTTACATAATACTTGTTTTATTATTAAAAATTAACGGGAACTCTTAGACACTTGCACCTTGCTCCTTATTATAAAAAAATTTAATGGTCTATTAAACGGCATATCCCAATTTTTACTAAAAACCAAAAAAAAATTAATTTTGGTGAAAATTTTGTATGACATTTCAAATTTTTGTGTGACTTTTTTCATTTTGGGAGAACCAAACAATTGCTTTCAACTGGTTTTTATTATGTTACATTTATTAACTGGAAAGTAGAATACATTTTCTTCAAAATTGCTACTTCACTTTGCACTGAAAATTTTAAAATATAAATTCACAAATCATGCTCAACTGAACACTTGCAAATTTTATAAGCTTTGATTAAAAAAAAAATATTAACCAAATGAGTGAAAAATTAAGGCTCCAGTGAATTATGAAAACTAAATGCCAGTTTTGAAACTCAGCGTGCCCCTTCCCTTTTCTTTTGGGAATTTTACTCAAAGTATGTATATTAATTTTTCTATCAGTATTAGCAATGATTCGTGATTTATAGATTGTACAAAGATTATCGATTAAATAGCAACCCTTAAGAGAGGTGCGAAACAAACTGGCGAAGGTTTTCATTATATATTATAACGGACATTTTTATTATTCTCTGTTCAAAAAATTACCTCTGAAAAATACAGAGCCGATTTAAAGGACAGGTTAAACAAAATGCGTCCTTTATTTTGAAAAAAATTATAAAGGACAGAGGGTTAAAATAAAGGACTGTCCTTTAAAATAAAGGACGGATGGTCACCGTAGTCATACCATTTATTTCCATTTATTTTGACCCGCTTTTGTACACGAGTTTGTAGTTTATTCATACTCGAAATCAAACAATTATTAATATGTTCGAGCATACCATCAGGACTGAGACTATTCAGGTCAGCGAAGGTGCATTGTCTCAAAAGATTTATGAGGTTGTCTGGGCTGTACCCATCCCACGAAGTTATTTCAGACAGTTTACTGTAAGGGCCTTGTTATTTTATATCGCATTTGAACATTATAGTTTCATGATCCGATATTCTATGTTCCTCCGCTTTTTCACATGAAACTTCCTTAGCGTTCGAGTACAATAAGTCGATCAGTGTTTCGGAATATTCAGTAACCCTAGTATTAAAGTTAATTAACTGGTTCATTGCCTGATGGGCGAATATTTCTACTTTTTTTCTATTCGATCCTAAAAGCGTTTTTGCTGACAGAGGTATATTGGTAACACCTATTTTGGTTAACGTATGCAGTAAATCACTAAGAGAGTTATGCATTATATTGTTTCTTATGGCCCAAGCCTTTAACTCCCTACATTTATCTGTATCCCTGGGGCAGGAATTACTTATTTTTTTATGACATTTGAACTATCACTACACATATCTTCTTCATAAGATGAACTACTGGGAACTTGTGCAGGATTAGCTGTAAGATTATACAACGAAGAGGTACTACACATTCCTTCTTCGCGATTGGAATCATCTGCAATTTCAGCAGGAGCACTGGGCGGAGTACTATTCTTTGCATTTTCGCAATTGGAATAATGGGCGACAACGGAATCACTAAATTGAGCACTATACGAAGAACTATTGGACTTTTCTCCACAATTATTGGTCACTTGAGTATTAGCACTAAATGGAACAATGCATTCCATATTAAAGCGCTTATCATTTTCCAAAAACTTTCTTTTTTCTAAGCTCATATAATTCTGGAAACTTTTTTTGTTAATTTTTTCTTTTATTTGTTTAATTTATGATTTGTGAAATTTTATTTTGACATTTGCAACTTGGAATACCACCTGCTACATATGTATATAAATACAACATTCGTCGTTGTTGTTGTTGTAGCAGCATACAAATTCCCCAAAGACTTTTTGGGGAGTGTTGCTGGAGTGACAGTCCTTGGCCAGATATAAATCTGGGTCGTTCCGGTTACGTAGACCCGACTGTCGTGGGAACATTCGTCGTCTCCTTCCCTCTTGCACAGATTTAGGAGAGTAAACGTTCAAAAGATGATACGTATTAATGTGTGTAAAAAAGAGAAAAATCGCACTAATTTTAGTAAGGGTCAAGTAAGTTTACATGTGTTGGTTTCAATATCAAACTTTTTGAATGTGTTGGAGTTTCTGGTAGTCCCGTCTTGCAGGGTATGCATTTTGTTATGCATACAGCATACATACATATGGTCTATGTTTTTGCAAAACCGCCCATCGACCAGTTGCAAAACCGCCTAAATCGCGGTTAAAAAAAAAATCGTTATTAAAACAACAGATTTGTAAAATAATAGCTAGAGAAAATATCGAATATCAAGGCAATGCCTTCAAAGAAAACCAGTTTTTTCGCTCTCCTGTAAAATTTGAGTGTCGAAAGATAGGCGGTTTTGTAATTGGTCGATGGGCGGGTTTGCAAAAACATTGACGATATGTACATTGTATATGTAAGTAATGCAAGCAAATGCTTTTCGTTGCAAGGAATGTAGGAATATGCACAAATATATGAATTATGGGGGTAATATATGTATATGTATGTACATATAAATTACATACAATGCATACGCGTAGTTAAAGTATATTCCAAGCGTACACTTTTCAGTATAATGGTGTATCTGCATGTTATTTTAATATAGTGATTGCGTTTAATTATTATATGTATCTAATAAATGGATCTTAATGGGTATAATACTGACTATTGAGAAAAGTGCGCGTCTGGTGAAGACTGAGAGTAAAGAAAAGCAGAAAAAACAATATAAATATTTTATTTATTTTAAATATTTTGATTCGCCATTATAAGGATATTAAAAAGAAACCAAAAATATACAAACGTTAATAGAATAAGAATATGTATGTATGTATGTATTACTTAGAAGAAAACTCAATAAAAGCAAGGTCTGTATTTCATATCCATGTACACACATGTATACATCGTCACCTGAAATGCAAAAAGACGTAACAAGCATCGTCGCTGAAATTCAAAGAGTCGTAACTAATAAAAAATTCAAGTTCAGTTTTTGATTGATATGATGGATTCCATCGAATTACAACTCCCACATCATTTATTGAAAAAAATAAAAAAATTTAGTCACGACGTTTCCATTTCAGTTACCATGTTGTTACGTCTTTTTGCATTGCAGGTGACGATATGTGTGTATCTATATGCGTGTACTTATATACATACATGAGTGCAAGTTGAATAAAAGCCCGTTAATTAATTTTTATGGCCTTTGTTCATTGAGTGCTACTTCAGAACTAACTTTGACGAAGTAAATTTGCCTTGCAGCTAGAGTTATTATTTGGTCACACGGATTGGCCGCGTGACAGCAGTAAGTTGTAGAAGACGCGATGTCAGCAGAATTCGCGCAGTTATTGCTCCCACGGTTGGACGTCTGTTTGCCAGTGCACTTTGTGCTTATGTTCGTTACCGACGGATGTGGTGTTTAGTTACTTTTCATACGCGTGTAAAAATTAGCAGATCAGGCCATATATGTAATACTCCTATATTGGCAGAAAGAGCTAGTACCGTCCGAAAACACTACAGTACAGATATATCAATAAACACGTACGAAAGAAAAGGAACACATACGTTTATAAATAAACATGTACACAACACATATACAAAAACGGCACTCAAGTACACAATAGATTGACAAAAACGGTACTAGACTGTGTCGCTTTGATTTCGGAATGCTTACACATTGAGAAGTTAGCTTACTGCCAATATAGAAGTATTACATATATGGATCAGGCATTTAATTTGTGTGAAGTCAATTCTTCCACCTTCAATTTCGAGCGTCCTCGTTCGATGGAATTGGCTGAAGTTTGTGTGGTAAGTCTTCTATCCCTATGGTAAGTGATGACGCACTTTTATCTCTAGGTTGTGGAATTGGTGGTTAGTGGAGAAATTGATTTTGTTTTCTATGTTCAATGTGTCGATGTAGTTACTGTCGTTCAGGCGTAGCTGTTTTAACATTTCCAACGAAAGAACTTCTTCCATCACTCCAGAGCTTGCCATAGGTTGGAGAATCGCTGGCAAGGGGTGTAGACTAACTATTTCCTCTGTTACAATTACTTTGTTGTTTACTTGGATAGTGGCGTTGTGATGCCGAATTATGAAGGTGCCCTTTAATGGTATCAGGTCGCAATGCACAAGTATGTTTCCTTCATACTGGTTAAGTAATAATATTCCAGGGGATATTTCCTATATCGTGGGAACGTGTTGATTGTTTATTACGCTGCAGTTTGCGACGCCACTGCTCAACAAATCCGGGATGCATGAAGTGTTGCTTATATTTATAATATTAGTGTTAGAACATATTACTAAATTATTATAGGATTTACAACTATTTAAAATTCCAAATATTTCATTTTCATTACATTTCAAAATGGATTCAAATGGTATTTTGTTAATTTTTCCCTTATTTTTACCGCTCGTATTATTAAATTTCTACAATTACTTTTTTGTGGTTGGCAAATTTACAATGTTATTTCCATTAGTGGCGATGCGGACTTCTACAAATTCCAAAGCCTCGTCAATATTTATATAGGTTGTTATTAAATAAGAAAAGTCGACATATTAATATTGCATTGGCTTTA